GAATACAGTGGGTTTCTCATAGAACACCAAATGATGCGATTTAAAATAGAGAGATAGGTTTGATTAAAAACGATAAAGTGTCCAACATGTTTATTATGAACTATTAAAGATATTTAAAAAACATCAAAAATATAAATTAATTTATGAAATTAATATAAAAAACGTGTTTATAAAAATTACAATGCTTACTGTGGGTATCCCATAAAAATTGTGTATCCCATGACTTTTGTATTTATTATTACGATTAAATGCAAATTAAATACTATTTTTAGTAAATAATTTATTCACACCTAAACATAATAACTATAAGTGTTTATATTTATTACAGTAAATGTCTAATACAAACCATAAATTTAAAAATAAATATTAAAATTTAAGTAAAATACTGTTTTAATTACAAACTTAATACTGTATTACAATACACATAAAATTGTACTAAATTGGGGGTACTGTCATACATAACGTCAAAACGATTCTCATAGAATATAATGGGTTTCCCATAGACGGAGAAATTTCTTTGGGAAATTTGTGAGAAATTTCTCGTAATTTTTGGAAATTTCTCATTTTGACCAACACTATTTTTGAGCGTCCATTATCTGCTAATAGATTCCCAAGACGGTTAGTCGATTGCTTAAGGGGTATTCGCGATATTTACACTTATCCATTGGAGGTCATATTGTCTTTGAGCGTATATTAAAATTTTATTACTAAAATAATACATGTTCTCCCGAGAGCCCTGTGCAAACGTGCCAACCAGAATAGCACTGATTCCCAGGCCAAGCAACACTTGCGCTATGATTACCAAATATAATTGCCTAATAAACAATAAATAAAAATTTAATCATAATTAATAAATCGAGTTTAATGTAAACATACGGCTTGATCTTTATCATAGGTATTGGGCCTATAATTGTGAGGCAAATCAAAGCCGAGAAACAGCCGATTAAACTGATCACAAATTTGTTTGATATCTTTTCGGCCAAATGTTCCCAAATATGATTGAATACAACGAGAGATATACCGGATGTCAAGAATACCAGTCCGACCATCGATGGCGATAGTGAGGCAATCTATGTTAGTTAATGTAATTACTATTGATCATTACTTAACCCGAGGTAATTATAATTATACATCTTCGAGGTGTAACTCCAGTGTTGTTGTGTTAAAGCCAATGAGAGCGCCGGAATTTATAGTAATCAATACATTGATCACAATTCCCACGTTTGAAAGCAGTTGAAAGAACGTTACGTTTCCAGTATTCACGTATAATTCTGAGGTAAACCAAAGTTAAAATAATTAATTAATAAAATTAAAAAATGATTTGTAATGTTTAATGTCAATTACGTTCGGTTTTAACAGTGAAATGCATGATAACCGACGAGAATATAGCAATTATGCCAAACACGTAAAACGGCACACAAAAGCCCACACCATATATTTCGCCCAACTATTAAATGATTGTGTTAAAATATATTATATTATTTTACAAAACTACCTGATAAAGAAAGCCAGCCAATGGCGGCCCAATAATCAGTCCCATAGAGTAATAGACCTGGATTTTGGCCTAAAATTACATTTACGTAATTATACATTTCATAAAACATAATGCTTTAACAAACATTTACATAAACTGTTTCCTGATTTTTGGTGAACTCGAGACAAATGATTGTATAACATGTTGTAAAATAAATTCCCATTTGAAAGCCAACCATCAATTGTATGCATATTGCGATCGGTATGAAGAAAGCCGGTGCATAACACCATTCAAGTGACCTGTAATTGAACATTTTCATACGCTATTAAAACAATTTACCAAGCAAATGTTTTTGTGCAATTACCCGAATCCGATGATTGACACCCCGAACAATAACAGACATACTTTGAGCAAGTTTTTTGGTTTGAAACTTGATAACTTTTTGAAAAATAACAAGGATAGATTTAATTACTGTGTTGATCTAAATTTAACACAATTAAAATTATTTTCATTTAATACTCACTAAATTCCGTAATAAAATAGCTCCGATAAAGCCAACACCTTCTACCCCGTTTATAACACCAATCCAAGTGTCTGATATACACCTATGCTCAGCCTAAACAATTATAATGTGTATATAAACTTAATAGGTACAGTATTTACTAACTTATTATTTAATTATTAATTTTAATAATAGATCAATATATAAATGCATGATAATGCCAATCTTATAGCCTAATGTAAACTTATGACTCATAATTTATAAGTCATTGATAGACTTTGAGCTTAAGTTATGACCAGAGCATTGCATTATAGGTAAATATAATACCCCAAATAGTCACTATAATAGTTACGAAAAACAGCTCAAATAGTTACTTTAATAGTTAGTTATAATTTGACAAAATAGGCTTAAAAATTATATAAAATGTTACCAATTGCCAGTTTCACTCTTAATTACACTAAATATAACCATGGAATTCCAAATATCAAAATTATTATATATAGTTCATACTGTACTTGCTAAAATATGAGTATTCAGAGTTCACATTTAATTCATTATTACTACTAATTTTACTATTACTAAAGAACAAATTATGGGTAATATACAGTACAACCTCTTCCTATAAAATATACAATTTGCACCTAGTGTACACCTTGGAAGGCTATGAATATAACTGTTTTTAAGTTAAATCACTTGTATTTAACTAAATTAACTGTTTTTAAGAATATTTTTAATTGTTTTGGCCAAAACTCTAAATACATACAAAATATAATTTTAGTCATACCATTGCTTTGAATGATAATCTATAGCAATATTTTATAATAACCTTTACATTTGTCATAGTTTACTCTATTTAAATTTTTTAAACTAACAAATGTAAATTAAGTTGTGATTTTCTTTGTGTTTTATACTAAAATATACCAAAAACTTGAATAATGTGTCAAATAGTTAAGTATAAAGTAAAAAACGTTCAAATAGTTACAAACGGCTCAAATAGTTAAATATAGGTAAAATAAACTTTCGATAAACTGACCCTTAATACATGATAGGTTTACATCCCGAGTCTGGGGGTAATGTTATTAACCGCTAAAATAGGTGGGATAGTTAAATGCAATTCCCTGGTTATGACAATAAAAAGTTGGATAATTCTAATCTATCAATTGCTAAAAGTTTTATTAATTTAATTATTAAAGTAATTAAAAAATTTAAGTTCTTCATCAATTTTTTCAAAATTATGACCAAGCCATTCCAAAATAAAGAAGGGCTTTTATTAGTTGAACGTGGATATTGTTTAACCCTGGTATAATTCTATATAAAGTATTACTCACAAATAAATGTGAATAGTGTATAAATAATGTGTACACTCGTTTATAAAATTTGCCATAAAATGGCACTTTGGAATCCGCTGATTATGACATTTTAATCAAAATAATCATAACATATAAATAAACATAAAATTATTTATAAAATAATTAATTCACATACAACTGATGGGAAAAATGGTCCGTCAAGTGATGCCGCAGTACTCGTCAATACACTCCCGAAACACAACACAATCAATAAAATCAATTGTTTTCTTTCGAATTGGGATTTGAATAAATTCCTAAACCAATTGTCTTTACAATGGCTTACATTCCTATCTCCAATCCCGTCAACTGTTGTTTGTCTTTCGTAAACTATGTCGTCTGCCATCTAATTGTACTACAAATGAAACTTTTTGCCACAATATTTGAAAGCTATTACAGTATATGACGGTTATGTTCACTGCTTAAGATTTAATTATGTAAACATTTTATAAAACAGTGTTTTGTAATTTATACACTATTCACATGTTATTCATATACAGTATGCAGTGAAATAAAAGTGGGGGTTTATAATAAATATGAATTAACTATTTTTTATTAAAAATATTAATATACTGTAATTGAACTATAATATTTTGAGTATACATTAATAATTAAAAGAATATAAATATTGTAACTCTTATAGTGAATGATAATTTAAAATTAGCTTGGTTATTTAATAATCATTTTTAAATAATTTCAGCCCTGTCTCTCTCTCTCTCTCTCTCTCTCTCTCTCTCTCT